GACCAACGGCCAAAATTTAAAATACTCTGCATGTTTCGGTAGCATTACGCTACCATCATCAGAAGTAAAAACTACATGACAAGAGAATAATTTTATAAAACAATGGTTTAACTCATTGTAATCTATGAGGGTGGTATGAGTATTGGTTTTTGTTTTGAATTTCGCGCAAAACTACACGAGGACTATTGCGCTAGCCGTCCCTAATTTAGCAGTGTAAGACTAGAGGGAAGGCAGATAGTCATCATCACCCAATGCCAATTCTTGGCCTATTCTTTTATCCACGAACAGTGGAATTGACCGTCACATAATAACGCCCCCACGGCTGAAAGGGCGAGCATGTTTGGTGGGACGGGGATTCGAACCCGCAACCCTCTGATTGCCAGTCGAGCTCCCTAACCACCTAGCCATGCGAGATGGAGGGTTAGGTGGCGATAATGCACAATTTTGGAAAGAAATATTGACTCACTTAATAGCTAACTGAATACCTAATTCATTCACTAGCTAACTGAATACTTAACTAATCAGTGACAACTCTTTGTGTTTTATATTATTATAATATTTCACCACAAGTATCTAGAAAATTCGAGAAGTAACGTGTATCATTACGAGGTCGTGCCAAAACCTCCATCTAGCAAACAAGACGCTTAATTTAAAACCCTAAATCACGGTACACAACATATTTTATGTCTGCGCTTATGTTTTTCCTTATTATTTCAAAAATCATTATTATTCAGTGTTGTACGATTTTAAAATCTGATTAAAATGTGTTTTATCAGTTACTTTCGAACTCAAGTGATGTTTATTTTATAAAATTCACTTATGTACATACACATGTTTTTCATAAAATGGAGAAAACTTAAGTATACATTATTAACTAATAATAGCATTAAGTGTATAATCAAATTTGTGATCATCGTTACAAGACCATAGTTTATCGTATTTTCTTATTCATTTTCTTAAGGCGTCGTATTTACAGTATGTTTATTCAAAAGCAAGGTTGTGATAAACCTTTCAGCTGTGGGATCGTTATAACGTAACAGTCAGTCCTACTATTCGTTATGTTAGATATACACGACTATTTCCGTTTAGGTTTAATGCGACTGTCACGATTTATGTAGTTTATATAGCACGAATGTTAAATTTAGTTAGTTTTAGAAACAATAGTTTATCCCAAGTTTGTTTACGTAACTATTTACGAATCATAAGTCGTGTAGTTTACTAGTTATGAATTGGTGATTGTTATATTATTGCGTCGTGTTACTAGAACCTTCTGAGTTTTTCTCGTTGTCGTAGTTGAGTATTATTGCATCGTAATATCTAATAATGTGCGAAACCTTCTAGGCCTCTGTCTGGTTATGAATACGCGTCGCACACTTAATTTGATATAAATAGATCTAGACTGAGTGATTGTGAGTTTAGCCAGACAGAATCACCAACAACTTCCATTGCCTAGGGGTCATTGGAGATGTGACCAAATTCTGCAGGTCATGTCCACTATATGAGACGCCTCTCATAGAAAAGCCATTCAGCAAAGTAGCTGTGGATTTGATCAGACCACTAGTACCTGTATCCGACAAGGACAACTGGTATGTGCTGACAGTAGTTAACTATGCAACATGTTACCCAGAAGCCATACCAATGCCAAACATAGAGGTGGAGAAAGTAGCAGAAGCCTTCCTGGAAGTGTTCTGCAGAGTAGGCTTTCCAAAGAAGTCTTGAGTAACAGAGGTGCAAAGTCTACAGAGGTGAGTGCTATGCTTCCATAACTACTGGTTTTGCATTGAGGCTATCGAGGGGACTACAAATGTTGGTGCAGACTGTATGAGTAGGCTTTGTGCATGAACTAAAAACAGTCTTTGTATATAGTATAAAAAATATTGTAAACATTTTACTTGAAGAGAGGCTCATTGTTAGATATACATGACTGTTTCCTTTTAGGTTTAATACGTGTGTTATTATTTAGATAGTATATATTGTGTATGTGTTAAATTTAGTTATTTTTAGAGGTGACAGCTTATTGTAAGTTTGTTTATGTAACTGTTTATGAATCATACTGTGTGTAGTTCAATAGTTATGAATTGGTGATTGTTATATTATTGTATCATGTTACTAGAACCTTCTGAGTTTATTCGGTGTTTTTAATTGAGTATTATTGCATCATAATATCTAGCACTGTTTGGAACATTCTAGACCTCTGGGTATAAATATGCATCAAAAATTTAGTTTGCTATATATAAATCTAGATTGCATGATTGTCAGTTGTGCCATAAAGAGCAGATTGTGGCGATTTTTAAAGTAAAATTATCAGAGATTGTATTGCAATAACAGAGTAGAGAAGAATAATTGAATTGTGTACTAATGCCATTGAACCAGTCAGTGTGCACTCTGAGGAAAAAAAGAGACAATTATTTAAAGATCTGGATACAACTGTGATAACCAACAGTGAAACAAACATTTGTGTACACGTTTGATTTGTTTTAATGCATTATTTTAAAACAAGTGGACTGTGTGCTGTATGTTTATTGTTGAAATATGTCGCCAACAAATTACAGGCACCTAAGGAGAGAGGCTTACCAACTATACAATTTTTCAGGGAATTATATACAGGATATTTTACACACTTACAAATATATCTATATTATCATATATATATGTATATATATATGTGTGTGTTTTGTGTTTATGTGTGTGATATATAAATATGTATATAGGAAACAAACAGATATATGATAATAAATGGAATACCTTGTGCTACCCATCAAACAATGTATTTTAAAGTGTAAAACTTAGAAAGCCAGAGCAGGTTGTTTGGGTTCTTACTTAACATTTTAACTTCCACACCATAAAGTCATAACAATGGAAAAAATAAAAATAAAAATGGAGTAATTCCTTTGGTAATAACAACAACAAAATAATAACAATGGATAATAATGGGCTTGTAACAAAGTGGGTAAGGTGTTCCAAGAAACCTCAATTTTGCCATTTACAAAAGCACTCATAGTTAAATATATTCATGTTTATATAGCTGTTTTTCAAAACAATTTGTTAAATATAATGTAGCAATGTAGTTTTAAATAAATTTTAGTAAAGGTATGCAATAAAGCATCATTTTCCTCTTAAATAAGAATATTTAACTGTTTTATAAATGCTCAAAAATCAGGACAAAATTGGATCAAAATTAGCAAATTTTTTTTTTATTTAGTGTTATATCACAAACAGCATTATTCTACATAGTAATCTTTCTTGAAAAAGTAAATGACGAATTTTGGATAGAGATTTTGTACTTGTACTTATATATACTTCACAATAATCCTGCTTTGCTAAACTGAATTTATTAGAAATTATGTATACTTAATGGACCTTGTTGTAATACATTCATAAAATCATTACTTGTGAAATTATATGGCCAGCTGTTTTCATGGCTTTACAGAACGAGATGGCGCTCAAGTTCTAGCCTTTATATAATGTAAAACTGTAAATGTTAATGTGTTGTAAGCGGCTAAAACAAAATGCCCTTACAACCAGGGTCAAACTGAAACAATTTATCAAAAAAAAATAGAACAGAAATCTAAATTAAAACTTTCATACAACTACAAATTTTATTATTAAAAGAAAAGTTAGTAAACCCATGCCGTTAATAAACAATTCAACGTAAAGCTCAATGTTAATAATTTCAATAAATAAAGCAATTAGGAAAATAGAACAAGAAGTCTTTAAAAAATCTACTTCCAAAAAACCACAATGTTCTAAAATTAAAACACTTCTCAAGATCAGTAACAATATCAAGCAATAATTAGCAGTAATTCTAACTATATCTAGTGAATTAATTCGTTTTCAAAATCAAGGAAGGCTTTTTATTTATTGGTAGACCACGAGGTTACATCTCGTGTGACTAGGTATTACCATAACTCTACATAATCTTTCACAATATTAACATCTGTACATCACCGCTAGGGGAAGCATATATCGGTTTCATAATACATACATACTCAAAATCAACGTGCTTCAGCTAGAATTTATGAAAGGTGAGTAGGAGTTTTAATATAACTAAAAATTCATAGTTTAACTAAAAACTAGAAAGAATAATAAATGAAGATAAACAAAACCATAACAAAATAAAAGTATTATTCGTTATCTCACAGTGTATTGCAAAGGATTGTAACTTGTAAGTATAACGATAGGCAGTTATAGAGAAAACCTTGTAATGTATCATTTAACTGTTATGTGTACGTTTTTTGTTTTGTTTTTCCCAACCCATAAGTAAATTAATATCAATTAACTTGCCACTGCCTACATATTATGTTAGATATATACTCTCATAGTTACTTAAAGTTAAGTTAAGGCCAACTGGCAGTAACGTTGCTTAACTGAGGAGAACCTTTTTAGCACATATAACTTTCGTCTCTAAACTCGGAGTTTTGTTTTAGTTTTCTTATGATGTGGTAGTTGTTAACACAATCGATTTCATTCATTTTTAAATTCCATACAGCTTCCAATAGAGACAACCCGAAATGTTTAAAAAATGGATTCCAAATATTTGGATATAATATCCAACCAGAGCTCTGAACATTTTCAATGTTTTGCTGAGAGATACTACTTATTATATAATTATACAATTATAATTATTAAAATATTTCTTTTGACTGTTGAAAATTGAGATGAGTGTTTATTCTAACTTCTGTTGATATTCAGCTGTCTAGCTTTGAATTCGTTATTACATCAAGTTTTTAATTGATAAAGGCTTTTGATAGATAAAAGTTTTTATAACAAAACTAAATAAATAAGTGAAATTAATTATAAAATGTTTTGCTCGCTAGTAAGTCTGTTTACATAAGATTGTAGTTTTCTTGAGTGGCACTATAGCATTTCTGTAGAAGTTAATGTGAAGTACGATAATAATTACAATAGTCAAGCGATATAGCAGGTTGTTCATGTAATGAAGTACTTATTAAAAACGGAAAAAATATGAATGGCTTTAGTAAATTATTGATTCATTTATATGTTGGGATTTATTTGCAGTTTGCCCAAGAAGTGGAAATCAGTACGAAAGTACATTAATTCAGGCATTCTTAAGAATGTTGTTCCAGATTTTAGTTATCGCAAGTACAACATCTGCACAGAAAAATTACGAAGATCGTGTACTTCTAGATCATAGCTACCCTGGGAGTGACTGTCTTGAAACCATAACAATATAAATGGACAAAATAGTTGGTCACTTGAACACAGGTAGGAAAATTTTAGTTTCACAACCAAAGATATAATTTTCGAATAAACTGTTAGTATTATTTCATTATACTTAAAGGTGATTGTTAAGCTTTGAAAAAAAGAAAACAATTAATATCCAATAATAATTTTGATATGCTAAACAACACTTTTTTTCTTAAACCCCATTTGAAGTCTTTAAAAAGACATCGCTTATTTAACAGAGTATATTTTCCACTTTTTCAGTATTTTTCCTTAACACTGTAGTTTTACTCCACCAAAGCCTACAATTTTATAAGACATACTTTCAATCTTGCTTGAGGTACCATGTTCATCTGTTCCTCAAAGATGGTGTCAAAGCATTAATGGGGCACCAGACTTTACACAAGAAACAGTTAATTCATCACAAGTGGGGAAAAAGGGAAAAGATAGATTGTGTTTTAATGCTAAATTAAATGACCAAAGAAAAATGGGGTGTTATAGAAAGAAATTTCTTGGTTACGTTGACTTTGGTGCAAATACAGAGGACTACATCTCTTGCCAGTGATGTATGGTTTTTCCTCTAAACAGCAAATTGATGGTGCTTGTTGGCTGTTTCTTTATTAATGTCATGACAGGAAAAGAATGAGCAAATTCAGTGAGAATATGACAACAAAAACTGTCAGTTATTGAATTTGCAGCTGTAACAGTTGATTGTTATGGTCCAAGTCATGCAGCCTTAGTTTTTTTCCTAGCAATGAAAAATGAAAATTTGTCATTCTTGATATATGTCACATGCTAAAGCTCATTCAAAACACTTTTGCACCTGAGAAAATGTTTAAACAGTGAATACATTAAATGGCAGTTTGTTATTGATTTACACAAGTTGCAGGAAGAAGAAGAAAATAAACTAAAATATAAGAAACATTCAATGCAGAAACAAAAAAAAATTAAAGTTACCTTTTCAAACCAAACTTAAGTTCAACTGTGGTAGATGCCATAGTACGTATATAAGTTTAAGGAACATTAGTCTACTGTTAAAGTTATAAGAACATACGATAGACTCTTTGATTTGTTCATCTTCAGAAATCTAGTTCCTAAAAATTACAAGAGCCAAATGAGAATTTTCCACCAAATGATTTTGTAAACATCTAATAGAAACAAAAAAACATATTTTTCAGTTAACAGACATCACTGGGCAAAGAATGTATGGAACTTGATGTAAAACACCATTTACTGGATTTCTAACTGCAATCAAACCTATGTAGCAATTATATGAAACTTAAGTGTCATCGTCTTCACCCTCTTTGAAGTTCCTATTGACATGCAACTCCAGTCAAGATGACTTGGAACATGTTTTTCTTGTTTTTGCGGCTGCTATTCACCATTTGGTAAAGGCATCAGCCAGCAAATGTCATCAAAGTACATCAGGCAACAGAAAGTTGTTGTGAGAGACTTCTGAAGTCAACAAATGGTGACCTTCCTCAGGCAAGTACAATTGGCCTTGGAATACGTATTTTTGAATATAAGTTTTTGTGGTTTAAATGGACATGTTTGCATCACCTTGCTAAACAACATTCTGCAAAAGTTGTAGGTGAGAAGGTAAGGAAAAACTTTCCAAGTTAGTTTGATTTAAACATCTGTGGTTTTAAATTGTATGGTGTATAAAAATGTTTGTGTATAGAGTATAAAAATGTTTGCGTGTAGAGTGCTGTTTTACAAACTTTCAAATGTGTATATAACACACATTTATCAACTAATTTGTGAAATTAATGTAAAAAAAAATTCATATAAACACTGTAGTGTAACCTAATTAAATAGTGTATTTACTTTATTAGCCTTGTGTAAATATTTAGTATTCAAAATAACAATTAACTACAGAACTAGTTTAGGGCTATTTCAATATTAATACTTGCATTATTTTTATACTGCATCTTCTACTTTACCACAGACTTGTATACATTTGTACTGAAATTTGTCAGTTTATTACTAAAAATGCAGCAGAACACAATAAAATCTGTCTAGAGCAACACAATATTGTCTCTTATTGCTCTCTGTTTTTACAATGTCAATTCTACATACAAATATAACCACTTTATTTTCATAGTTATTACAAAAACTAAAAAAAGATAATATATAAATGAATTAAAATGTACATAGTGAAGTGGCAAGAAATACTTTAAATATTGAAATCCCCAAAACTGAAAAAAGTGATATGATTGCCTAAATTGTGTTTAATATATACTCAGAATTTTATATATTTATTTTAGGTTAATACAACTGTCACCAATGGAGATAAAGTGGAAAATTAACAAAGCATTTGAACAAGTGGATTCTTAAGTTAAGTATTCACATAGATGCTTTTGCAGCTAATCACACAAAAACACTACTAGATCCAGAACTTGCTTAGTTGGTACTAAAGTCTGGTATGTTATTTATAAATTAGACAGTCTTTTATCAGGAACAAAAGGAGACAGTTTTTATATACTAGAGCAATTAGTGTTAGTAATGGTATGTTAGAAAAGTTATTAAGGACTATTGGAAAGTTTCAACATAATAAATGGACAATAAGAGACCACTTGGTCCTTCAAGACTGCCTTTGCACACTCACTCTTGAGAAAAGTACAAATCTAAAGCTACCTATTATTATTTAGAAAATCAAAGGTTCCTCTTTCAAACTACTGTTAGGATGCTGGCTTTCTTAATTCAATCATGCTGTTAAAAAAATAAAACTTAAGAGACTAGTCTCTCATTTTCCAAATCTAAAACTTGTATCCTCTCATTGTATTATCATCAGAATATATCGTAAAGAAATCTCCTTGACCCACCATATAATTTTATAAACTTGAATAACATTACGTCTTAATTTTTTTCTCTTAAAAAACAAAAAAGTTAAGAGATCTTAGCCTATAAGGTAACCCTTCCATTGCCAGAATAATCTTAGTAATTAATCCTTTCCTATAGGTCAGTATCCTTTCTAAGATAAGGAAACCAGAACTGTATACAGTATTTCAAGTGAGGCCTAACTAGTGATTTGCATAGAGACATAATTGCCTGTTTTGGCTTGAAATCAGTATGTCAATCGATGCATCCTAAATTTTTATTTGCTATGCTATTAGCAACAGAGCACTGTCTTATTTACTACCATGCTAAGATTGTTTTGTTTTTTAATCATGCTGTCGAGTGGATTCCCATCTATATTAAATGTGTGGTCAAAATTATGATAATCCAAATGCATTACCTTGCACTTACTAAAATTAAAGGTTATCTGCCAAATATTGTCAGTCATTAAAATCTCAACGTCCTAAGTATAGCTATAAATACCTGAAAGTTTAATATCATCAGCAGACTTTACTAATTTACTAGTTACATGCTATCAATATCATTAATGTCAATAAGAAAAATATAAGGCTCAAGTACTCCAGAAGTAAAAAGAGTTCTATTTGACTGGACTCCATTAGTAATAACGTTTTGCTTTCTTCTATCCTACATTCCAATTAACCAGCCTTTCCCCAACCTCTGTGAATGTGATATTTGTTAGCTAATCTTTTGTGTGGCACCTTATCAAAAGCTTTTTAACAAATTAAGTACACAAAGTCTTGCACCCTTTCTATTTTTCAGATAACAATCAACATCCTTGAAAAATTTATAAATTAGTAAGGAAAGATTTCCCTTTGGTGAATCTATGTTAATTTTCATGTTTCACCACATGATTTTGTAAAGTTTCTTTTATCAGAATATAATTTTTCTCACCCGAGAATACAACTGGCCTATAATTTTCAGGGCATCTCTTATCACCCCATTTAAAATGTGTAACATAGCAACTTTCCAGCCTCCAGCTGCTTGTCCACTGTTTAATGACCTAGCAAAAAATGATTATAAGAGACTTGCATATTTGATCATTAAACTTCTTTACACCCTGGTGACAAAAAACTTGTCTAGTCCTGGTGTTTTGTCTACTTTTAATCTCTCTCAGTCTTTCCACTGACTACCAAGGAATTAATATCTACATGGTTCAGGCCAATTTCAATATTACCCATGGAATATTCCTGGTGAGAAATATATCTATAATATCTTGTCTTGTAAAAACAGAAGAGAACATTTATAAGCTCAACCATCTCATAGTCTTCAACAAAACCATGACATCAATATCCTTCAAGGGTTCAATCCTGTTTTAACATTTTGCTTCCTTCAACATACTTATAAAAAAATTCTTCCTTGTAATTTCAACATTATCATCCAGCTGTTTCTCATAATCCATTTTAAATCTTCTAACTTATGTTTTAATGAAATCATTAGTTCTGTAAATCTTCTACTTGACTGTCAATTTAAACGTGTCACATATCCCTGATTTTCTGTGTCTTTAGTAAGCAAATTAAGTTTGATCTTCCATGTTATCTTTTTTTCTTTTTAGAAACCTCGAAGTAGTCTTTCCGAAAATTAGGTACTAAAATTTCAATTCTTAAATTAACATGTAGCAAAAATATTAAACTGAAATGAGCAGTAATCACTTCCCCAAATCTTCCCCTGCAACCATATTCACATTTGTGGTTAACAGTAAGCTAGAAAACTAGCCTGAGTCACTTCAATAATTTCTTTTCCTTACTGTTTGTTAATCTCATATGTCAGATTAGGTGGCCCATGACACTTCTGTAAAAAACTTTCTACCCTTGACACCCCTGTTTGTAACCAATATAGATATTACTTCTTGACTACCATTTTTATATGTCTTTGATCCTAACAGGCTGCAATGAATCCTTTATATAAAGAGTAACCTCATACCCTGTTTTGAAAAGTTTATCATTGTTATATAACTCATAACCTGGAATTTTCAAGCTGGTCCTTGGTATAAAAAAAGTTTGAGAAATTCTGATCTGAATTATGAGGTTAACCAGCTTGATTTGTGGGGTAGGATTAATGGTTGAAATGTTTGTACACAATGGTTCTTACTCAAATAGATTGGGAAACTGTTTGTATGGGGAAGCAGTAAATGAATTCATTAAAGTTTTTTAAGCTAAGTTTGAGGTGTGGGTAGTTATTGGTCATTGAGGAATTTTAACTTTGCTATTACTATGGATAACTAAAATACATATTGACTTAATTAAATTTAATACTATAAATTACAGAAACACATATAAACTTGTGTCTTATTTAGTGTGTGGCATTGGTTATTTAGTATGTACAATGTAAATTGGTTATGATGCTAATAAATCTAGGTTTATTGGTACTATATAAACAACTTAAATAATATATATATATATATTTTTTAATTATAATTTTTAGAAACAAAACTTAGAAATCTTACTGCATGACTTCTAAAGCTCTTAGCCCTAATCATATTTAATCTACAGTTAAGAAGCTAAGTAATGATTTGGGGGTAGGGGAATTAAGTAAAATATTCCACAAATCATTTAGACATAGGTTTATGATTATTTGAAGACAACTAATATTATACCTTTTTCTTTTTAAATAGAAGGGATCCAAATAAGGCCAAAGGAAGTTACATATTTAAATTAATCTGACTTATTTTGTTGATAAACTACTGGAATCTTTTGTCAAGGATCATTTGGCAAAGCATCATGAAAGCTGGAATTTGATTAGAAATTATTAAAGTGACTTCAAAAAAGTGTTTCTTGTTTCATTAATTTGTTAGAGATTTTTGAGAAGGTTCTTGCCTGTTTGGATAATGGTACCCATGTTTATGTTGGGCATCTACAATTAGATTTCCAGGAGGGCTTCAATAATGTTTCTCTTAGTAGGTTCGTTAGTAGTTCCCTGTTTAGATCAAAACTAAAAATCAATCTATGAGTATAAATAATTGGCTATACCTTTCTTACATTCTAGAATGCATTGAAGATTATAGATGGATAAAAATTTCTTTTGGAGAAAAGAAAACAGATGTACATCTGAGGTATATTGTAGTATTGATTACAGGTGAGAGAGGGAAGTCTGAGTTGTATTGTAGTAATGATTACAGGTGAGAGAGGGAAGTCTGAGGTATATTGTAGTAATGATTACAGGTGAGAGAGGAAAGTCTGAGGTATATTGTAGTATTGATTACAAGTGAGAGAGGGAAGTCTGAGGTATATTGTAGTATTGATTACAAGTGAGAGAGGGAAGTCTGAGGTATATTATAGTATTGATTACAAGTGAGAGAGGGAAGTCTGAGATATATTGTAGTATTGATTACAGGTGAGAGAGGGAAGTCTGAGGTATATTGTAGTATTGATTACAGGTGAGAGAGGGAAGTCTGAGGTATATTGTAG